AGCCAGCTTGAGCCAGGGCTGATAAAGATATTTCCTTTGAAGTTCTGTCTGGCTGTCGTTTGTGAACGAGCGAAGAGGGGGTGGTCAGAACAGGTAACTAGCACGGGAGTCCCAAAGGTGCTTTTTTTCAAGAGGCAACTGGACTTCCTTTGTTTTTGCTTGAAGATGTTTCCCTTCTCATCCAAGAAGCTTCTTTAGCTCTGACTGGATGGTGGGGAATGGAAGGATGTATATTCCTTGCATTCAAAAGCATGCAAATGACCAGCTGTCTGCAAGGAGTATAAATCCTTCCATTCCCCACCATCCAGTCAGAGCTGAAGAAGCTTCTTGGATGAGAAGCGAAACTTCTTCAAAAAGAAAAAAACCAGAAAGTCCAGTTGTCTCTTGAAAAAGCCGCTTTGGGACAACTAGGGCCTGGGTGATGGAGAATCTCCATAGAACTTAAGTACCGGGAGTGTGTCTTCCTATGCCTGCCAAGGAAATGGGGACAGCTGGCAGAGGGCGGGGGGAGTCTGCTCTCCATCAGGGGGCTCTACTGATATTCGTGTTCCAGAGTATTGTGGAGAACAGAAGATGATCCTGCTGGCACTTTCAAAGGGATCCAGTCTGGAGCTGGGCTGGGAAAGAAGTCCTGATTCCTAGAAGGGCAGCCTTCCGTCAGACCTGATTAGGGCCAGAGGATTCAGATTCTTTGGGGAGTTGAATTTTAGCCAGTCTAGCCATTGGCCAAGTTGGGCTATCTGGATATTCCTGGGAAAGATGCGTCAGAATTGTTCAGTTGTACCGAAAGGAGCTTCTGAGGGAAAAACCTTAGTTGGGAGTTTTGTCCTTCTCTTCCCAGACAAGGCAGCCCAGCTTGATGGGGCTCCTCCTGGCTCCCTTCTTCTCTTTTCTCAGGTAACACCAGCTGGCTGATGAGCCTGGAAAATCCGCTGAGCCCCTTCTCTTCCGACATCAACAACATGCCCCTGCAGGAGCTCTCCAACGCCCTGATGGCAGCCGAGCGTTTCAAGGAACATCGTGAGACAGCCCTGTACAAGTCCCTCTCAGTCCCCTCCTCCAGCTTGTCCATGGGAACAGCCAAGCCCTTTCTCCTGCAGCGCTCCAACACAGGTGAGGCCAAGCTCGGGAGGCCTGCGGGGCCACCCCAGTGGAGCCAATGGGGAGCACGACTTGTCCCAAGCTGCCTTCACTTCGGAGGAGCTGCTTTGGAGCAGCCTCAGGCTTCCCCAAAGAAAGACGGGGTTCATTCAGGATAGTTCTAAATAACCATGTTGAAAGTCTCTTTTAAAAAGCCATCAAAAACATTTCCTGAATAAGTTCAAGCCTTTAATGTAGAAATGCAGGATACAAATGTAAATTCAGTCGATGTGGATGCCTACCTTGATTTGTTCTGTGGGCCATAAAAAGTTGCAGGAGATCTTTCTTGCTACTCTCCCAACATGGAACTGAAATCTGCATTATCTCTAGCCAGGCAGATGAGGACAGTTGTGGTTCTTCTGCTGGATCACATGGCAACAAGAGGCTCTATAGGAAGCACATTGAATTCCCAGCCAATGCCTGCTTCTGCCTTGGCTGACTTTGGCTTCTTCAGTCTCTGGGGCAGCCCACATGCTATGCAGGTTCTTGGAGGATTGTACGGCAGTTCATATTTAATCCTTAAGTATGGTGTCCTTGAAGGATGTCCCCTCGGTGGAGGCAGACACGGAGCTGCAGGAACAGA